GACAGAGAACGCAGAGGCAAAGAGACAAAGACGGACGGACACGGACAGACGGATAGACTGTCGGATGGACGGGCGCACACAAAGCAAGCACCCTACTGCGAAAGGCGCAGAACTGCTCCAGCAATCGCCAGCAAATTGTAGTGGACAGTGTTCGGGCTCAGCATTCACAATCTGCGAGGAAAGCAACATCGAAGAAACCTGCTCCTCAAACCAACTGCCTAGACAACCGTGGGAGTTAATTACACTCTGCAGTTGCCTGTTAGCTGTGAACACTTCCCTCCCCACGAAGTCTACACAAATCAGAGCCAGGCGACGCCAAACTGGCCTTGTCAAGGCCAACAGGGATCGGTGCACAAGTCGAGGTCGCAATAAAGAACCTTAGACACGGTGCGAGCTCGAGGGATTCCGAGCTTCGGGGTTGGGCTCTGGTTTTCACGGTCCAGCTGTTTCCGTCATTGTGGCTGGTGTCCGCAAGACAGCGGCACACCATTAGCTCACCTTGTGATGAACAAAGCTTGCAAGTTCAAGACTCCTCGTCTGGCAGCTGTACACACCTCTGCTTCCGGTAGCTCGACCAGCGGCTGCTTCATCTGCGGATGTTGGGCCAGGAGTAGCTGGAGTGAGAGTGACGAATACACGATCTGACAGTCTGACTTGTGAAATCCTTGAATGCACTTGGTGTATTACGAAGCAATTGGAGGCAGATCTCAGAACTTCTGTCGACTGGTCCCGTTGAACTTTCCTTCGTTGTGTTCCTCTCCGGGTCTCCGCTGCGCCACTACTTGTGGCATCTGAAGCCGGAACTCAGAAAAATCAAATCGAAGCTCTGGTTCGTCCTTGGGTGGTCCTTCGTGTCAACGTTCCAACCATCAAAGATGCCCCGCAGCTGCAAGACCTTCCTTCGCCCTACGGAGAACTCCTTACCCCAAATTGCCTGCATGCAACACCCAAAACTGGATGATGGCTATGAAGATTTGTAGGATGCTGCAACTGATATGCCCTTACCAGAACCCTCCAGACATCCAGCACACCTCAACAATGTGGCCAGACCTGGACCTGTTTGAATCACCGCTGCCCACACACACACACCGACACCGAGGAGTGCGAAGCACTTGCAAGCAAAGATCTGGAACAACAACCCCTGAGTGCTGCCACGAGACGTGTGGCATGCCCGGGGAAAAGAAGCAAAAGCCCCAAGCATATTTCAGCCGGGGGGCACTGCAAGCTCGGAGTTGGCACCCTCCCCGTTCTCAAGTGGTTCGGCATGCTGCGCAGCCCCCGCAGCGGCACCGCAGTGACGGCTTGCCAGAACCACGAAGTGAAGCCTCTGGAGGAAAAACCCTTACGACAGGCATCCCTACGATTGGCTAGGTCGAACCCGAGCAGAGGACGGCGGCATCTCTGCCGAAGCCCGGTGAAGCGTTGCTGTCTGCTGTCTGAGAAGCGCCTTCCAAGATCGACCTCTGAAAGCTCGGGCCACAGCGAACCAAAGGCCGCACATCCTCAGTCTGAGCAGATTCGAACTGCAACAACGCCAGCCAAACTTCTGCAACAAGACAGCAACAAACAGTCGAAAGCTGCCATAAACCTTGCACAAAGACCTTTAAGGGCCGGACTATTTTTAGCAGCGCTGAGCTCGCAAGTCTCCCCAAGTTGCCGCTTGCGGCGGCCAGACAGTCGCCACACAGGTGTGTGAAACCAGTAAATCGGAGAGGAACGGCAAAGCAGCTAATCCTCTGCCTGAGCTCCGGAGAGCGAGCGTCGCTGACACGAAGACGCGAGAAGACGCAAATGATAAGCAAAGACCGCTGAGCTAAGCCGAGGGCATACGTCTGCCGATGTTGTACTAGATCGAAAACAGACGTATGATGAGCACTGATTAACTTGTCCGGGGTATCACCTGAGTCGTGGCGCATGCACGCTCGCCACGGAGTGCTTGCAATCACTTAAACACCCGGCTTTCGGGTGCAAAAGAAAGTCACCCCTGAGCCCCCTAAACTACCATAGTGGGTGCAGGGCACCTTCGCCGCAGCAGGGAGCCCGACAGCCCCAGCAAGTGCGGAGGAATCAGCGCCACCTGCAAGCATGAATATGACTGAACTAAACATAGACCTCAATGTCACGGCAGAAACGTGTGAACTGTCCTTGCGCCTGGTCACCACAAACTCTCCAGGTGCAGGCCTGGCTGCCTCGCGGGATGCTCCCATATCCAAAACATTCGCATCTTTGTCGCCGGTGCGGTAAGAGTGCCGCGAGCCTGCGAAGCTGCCTTGCTCCTTGCTCGAAACTCATCCAGGTTGCATTGGGCAGAATGCTCGAAACAACAGGTCACCTGGCACCAAGGCATCGTCAACCATTGCGAGCCATGCACGCTTAAACACACAATCTCGGGAGTCACACACGGAGACACATGCCGACATGTTGCGCATTTGGCACTACAACAAGAATCTCTTGTAACCCAGACGGTGGTTGAAGCTCCCGAAAGTGCTAAGGTTGAGCCACCGCTGCCTTTCGTATCCTACCATCAGCCAAGAGATCTTCACTTTTGCATGACCAGGCATGGTGCCAAGAGAACTCCGAACCCCGCGCCTTGCCCTCGAGTCTTGAGCGGACGGAAACGACGGAAACATGAAAGTGAAGACAAATTGGAACAAACTCTTTAAAGACGAATCTCAGTTGTGAACAGACCCTGGAATTGCAGATTTCTCCAGACATGCACTGCGCAGTGCGAGTCTATCGCTGCACAAACTTCTGGTCTGAGCCGTAGCGGCTACAATGACTGCCACGTGGTCGGTCAAGTGAGGTTTTGAGCAAACAAGAAGCAAAGGTGGCGAAGGTCCAGGAGTCAGGAAGTCAGGCGGAGGAGGCAGAGGCAAAGTGTTTTTCTTCCAGCGAGCCTTCCCTTTGCATCGGGGAACCGGAACGGGAAACTGCAGCGAGGCTGTCATGTCCAGTTTTGCGAAGGCAGATCGCCTGCAAAGCAGGTCCTAGCCAAGAGCTCGCATGGATGGTCATCAGCCACAGAAAGTATCTCGCATGCAGGCAGGAGTGCAACCCTTCAGCATCTGCTGAGAGTGTTGCATGCAACATGGCTACGGACCCTCTCCAGTGGGCAGACACCTCACATCATTCTTTCAGCTGGAGGAAGATGACTTTTTGGCCTCCATGGCATTGACAGCGACACGATACAAGAAAACCTATTAGGACAGGTCTCAGCCCATGGCTTTTTTGTTTTTCTTCTGCTTCTTTTTCTTATCCTCCGAGGTTTGCTCCATCCATGGGCATCATTCAGGCAGCTCCGCGCAGCCGAAAGACCTTCTTCTTCTTTTTCTTATCCTTCTTCTTCCTTTGGCCGCAACAGAATGCAGTGCAGTGCAGGCCGCGAGAGTTCCCCCCGCGTGTCGAGCCCAAGACGTCCCAACACACAGCAGAAACAACCCACCCCGTTTGCATGAGACAGTGGCTTGATTTGCGCAACTGTGCAGACGACCACTTGTGGCTATTGCATGTCAGCAACAGTTCAGCCGCGCGCTTCTTCTTTTTCTTGCCCGAGGAAGAGCCACTGCTGGACGAGGATGAGCTTGCGTTTTTTCTTGCTTCCTGCAAGAGTCATGCCCTGGATGGTTTAGTCACGACGGCCTGGTCTCAACAAGTTACTTAGCGTGATTGATCTAACTACTCTTCAACTCTTTGCTCTTCGTGAATGTAGTAGACTTTAGTGGATTTCATTGGGCCTATGCTCAACATGTCAAGCCCGTCCCAAGTCCTCTTCTGCACGCTCCCGCATTGCTGCCTTGATGCTGGCATCCTAGAATGGTCGATGCTGACTTGGGCTGCACTGCACTGTCGCCATATGCCTCCCTCTGCGTTCAACAGTTCAACATCTGAGGACTTCAATCACTGCAAAAGTAATGACTGTGTCCTGCATGAAGAATGGGATATCATCGTCCGAGTCGGCCTTTGCGTGCGGCATCCGATGAACCGGCACTCAAACGTTCTCAGGCACGCACAGCAACCCGAAACGGCGGTGGGATTGTGCCTTCGCCATCTCATCCTGCACATGACGTGAAACGACATGCTTTGAAGCTACGCAGCTGTGCGTCGCTGTGCGAGTGATGTGCCTGCAGCTTCTTCTGCTGCTTTCGCAGCTCCTCACAGTTGTGAAAAGTACGAAAGCCCTGGCGCGCGCTGGCTGCCTGGCTGCCGCTCATTGCCGCTCCGAAGCTCCTTTGCTCTTCGCTTGTTAAGCTTCTTCACATGCTTCTTCTCATCGGCCTCACGACTCCGACAGCTGACCGATTCTGCCTCCCCACCACAGTGCAGGAGGCCCCATGACCTCGTTTGCTTCTTCCTCGTATGATCTCTTGCCTCCTAACTCACCGGCTGTCACATGGCTTCGAATTTCTGCTATTAACGCTACCGCCCGAATGGCGGTAGCATCTTCCCTCCACGATCTGCAGTTCTGAACGGGGGCAGGTTGCAGCAGTCCTTTTCCATTGATGATTTCGTAGTACATATCCTTGACCTGTGGACCGGGAGTGCGCAAGCTCACAAACGATCCAGAACAATATGTCGACGATCATCGCAGTGCTGACGAAGCCAAGGGCCACACTGTGCACGAATCTCACAAGTCCTGCCTTCTGTCCGATCGCATTGTCGCCTTCCTCGTCCAACGACGTCATGACGAGAAGCCGCGATTTATGCTGCTGCGACAGTATTTTTCAAGTCTAAAGTTGCCTCTGCTTAAGACGGACATCGACAAACAAGAAGCTGGGAGCTGTGGTGTGGGCTGAAGCATGCATGACATTGTCTCGACGGTCTCTCTAAACAGCTGAATCAAAATGATCAACTGGACTGCATTTCACAGACACCTGACTACCACCTAACATCATGTGCAATCGGCAAAGACACGGCTCAGGCATGGTTTTGCAGGCGAAGGGAGCGGTCCAGTGCCTTAGCCTGTCTTAGGCTTAGGCCTGAGCTGAGGCTGCACCCGCGGCTCAAATGTCGAAGTCAATCCTCAGTTGCAAGCTGAGTTGTAGAAAGAACATGCTGACAACATGTATGCTAGTGCAGTGAGGTGAGGTTGGCAGGGGAATCAAGGCTACAGGCTGGAAGTGCTAAAACTAGCACATTGGCATGCAGCAAAGGTGCTCGATGCGCTGCCAGTGGCACTTCTGCTGCGCTTCGGCACGCAGCTTCACATTGTCGTGGCAGAGGGCTGACAGCACTACCTGGCCCCAGTACTGGAGCTGCGCATCTTCGCGGTGGTCTGCAAGCGCTCCCACTATTGCTGCGATGCCACCCAGTTTTGCAACAATCTCCTGACAATTCGACTCTTCCTCTGAATCCGTTGTCCCCACTGCAGAGTCCTCCAGCAGGGCCTGCAAGGCTGCGAGGCAGGCCTGCTGAACGTGGGCATCGGTCCGAAAACGCTTCAAGGAAGCGACCACCACTTCGGGACAGCCGCAGCGAAGAGCCTTTAAACGGGCTTCGGTTCCGGTGAAAGCGAGAAGCTCCAAAGCCTGCAAGGCCGCCTGGTGCAAAGCCGCAACGTTTGGGTGTGCCTCCAATGCCTTTTGGATGGCCTCACAAGCCCCAAAGTCGGACAAGACTTCTGCCGCATCCAAGGACACCAGGGAAGCCAGATGCTGCAGGATGCGGCAGGCGATAAGCTGTATCCTGACGTTCTCAAGCTGCGCTGCCATACAGGTCAGAAGCAGCTGGGGCCCGTCGAGCTGAAGGAAGCGACGCTGGCAGGTGCTGCTGCGGAGCGTGGCGGCCTCCAGGACCTCCAGAACTTCCGCCACATCGGCCTCTGCCTCTGCATCCTCTGCCCTACCCTCGGCGAGGTCCCTCAGCTTCTGCAAGGAAGTCTCGACTTCATCCTTGCGACTTCCAGGCTCGTCCAGCAAGCCGCTCATGCTTCTGCTCATGCTTCCGAAGTTTGTTCTTAATCAAACATTTCGATAATTGTTATGCGAATCGAACCTGTCAGCAATACAGAGGCCTCGCCTGGACACGACGGACAGCATATGGACTCCTCCTACTACAGTGATGCACGAGTTCAGAACCACAGGGAAGAGTACATGTCATGAACAGGTGAGGCAGTGCGCTTCACTGCATTCTGATCCTGCTACCATTTTCGCCCAGGGAATCTGCCAAAATCGGTGACGCCAGGGATTGGTCTGAAGCTTGCGGCCTCCCTGAGCCACGGCTCACAATCCCACATGCTAGGAAGTCGACGCACGTTGGGCTGTCGATATCAGGAAGCATCCTACATGACCGCACAAAGACATCAGAGGCTCTACACAGTCCAACTAAACACTTGGGGCAACAAGATGCGTCGGGACGGGGTCCCAAAGCCACTTGTGACTTGTGGTGGCGACTTGGAGGATGGCACATCCTCTCTCATAGCAGACTGGATGAGATCTTCCCGGGCTTCGTCTGTCAGCGCGTAGCCCTCACCGGGGCCTGTGGCGGCCGCACCGCGAAGGGCAGTTTGGCCTCTGCCAACAGCAATGCTTCAAGGCTGCCTGTAGCTCAAAGCCCAGGCCAAACCAGGTCTGTATGCCACGAAAGAAGTTGCACATGTTACGACTTCTAGGACTGTAGCACTGCAGTCGTTCGACTGTTGCCCCTTGCCACGATATCAATGATGGAACGGAGCCCAAAGTTCCCGCCTCTGCCATAACCATGGGTCCTTTTCGCTCCGCCAAGGCTTCCCCGTCCTTTACACCTCCGGCACGTGGCTCGGCAAAGGTTTGTTTGCTGTGCTTCAAAGCTCGACAGAACCTGTGGGCGTCTCTCTAGAGATGGGTAGATGAGCGTCACATTGCCCTGCGATTCTGCATGCTTGCAAACATAGAGACGGCTTCTTGAGAACACATGAGGCATGGCTTTTACTGCTAGCATCCCCAGGATGAAGCCATACACTCACCAAGTCTCACGGAATCCTCCATGTGCTCACCCACATTCCTGGTGTAAAACCTCCTTCACGCATTTGAATGGGGAAGTCTCCGGAAGCTCTTGATCGCGCCTATGAGCGCATAGCCCTGTCGGAAAGCCAAACGCCCTTCCAGAGTTGCGCCCAGCCCTTGGAGTGCGTGGATAGCTTCGCCGTCCAAATTCCTTAGCTCACTTTGTTCATGCAAGCCCAATATCTAATTGCCAATCTGGGAACCTGAAAATCGAGCTGCGCATGAGCAGTTGGTTTCAGGTCTTGATGCAATTCAGCTTCTCTCCGCCCGAATCTTTCAAGGCCACCAGGACGATGTCGTCCTGCAGTGCATACGTGCAGCTTCGATGTTAGCTCTTCGGCAGAAATTGAAACCGTCTGTTCCTATCCGGTATGCTTTGACTGGACCTATAAGGCTGATCCAACGGTTTTTCTGATCAGAGTTGATCCGTGCCGACCTCTCCTCCTCCACGGCTCTCAGGTCCTTTGCCAGTCTGCGGTTCTCTTCCAGCGGGTTTCCCCAAATGTCATATGTCTTCGCAGACAGCAAATGCCCGGCTGACGAGTCAATCACCACCACATTCAACCCGCGCCTGCTCGACATACCGCCAATCGGTACTTGCTGATCTTCCAGGAAGAAGTCTGCAATGTCCCCCGCATCGCCGCCGGCGCTGACGACTTTGATGGCAGTGGTCCCCTTGGGCGGTCCCTTGCTGCTGGCCTTTGCTGCTCGCGAGGCTGTCTGCGCTGGCGAAGCCTGAAGCGCAAGAGCTCATGGGGCTGTGTTGAAGCTGCCGACTTCAACGCCTGTTGGCAATGTTGCCTTATCGTGTTGCAGTACAACAAGGAAGGCTCGGCTTCTTTCATGGAAGATCGAATACAAACGAAACAAGCAAGCCTGGCTGAACAGCGCAACAGCTCGAACACACGGGCCCTTCTTTCGACTCTGAGGCTTGCACTTTAGGTCAGGTCCAATATGCAACCCGTCTCAATGTGAGGACCCTGCAGTCTTTCGAAACCGTACCATTAAAGGGGCACATCTTCCCCCGCAGCCTGACTGGCCGGTGTCGGGGCCACCGGGATCTTCGCTTCCGTCTCCGAGGGTGTGGGCGCCGCTGGCGAAGTCTCGGCCTGGACTTCGCCTGTGAGCTCCTGCCGGAGCAGGCGGACCTGTGGCCACAAGCTGCAAGCTGCTCGGCCCTCTCACGCTCTTCGCTCGTCTCTTGAGTCTTGCCCTCTTCTCCCCCGGAACAGCATGCCAGACTCTCAAGCTTCTCCAGTGCAGCTTGGCTACTTCCGAAACCAGATCTGTCACCGTCTCTCGCAGAAGGCGGGTCTCGTCGCGCAGCTCCACTCGGGCCGCCTCCGCCGTGGGCGCCGCATGCACAGGAGTTATGGGACCGCGCGTGCCCCGCTCTTGCCGGCCGCCGGCAAAAGCGCTGCGCGACCAGGAACTCTGCCGGATGAAGGCCCAGGCAAGTGCAAAGCACGGCAACAGGATCACGATCCAGGGTCTCTGCACACGGCGCACCATCTGCTTCGTTTTCTGTTTTGCAGTTACACAAGTTCCACTAGTATGTGCCTCCGGGGACTTTAGCGCGTGCTCGTGGGTTTGGAATAAGGATGCATGTTGTGGAAGCCGCTATATCCAGTATGGCACAGATGACAGAGTCACAGAGTGCATGAGTGCTTCTGAAACAGCAAATGCAGAGGAAGCCGGACTTACAACGACAAAAAATGCTTTTTGGCGGTCGCGTCTAGGTGGCGATGACCCTGTGCATATTGCAGCTGCCCTGAGAAACCTTCATGCTGACCGAGGTCAGCACAAACAAGGATCTCACACTGTCGTACCGTCATACCTTGTGCAGCCGTAAGCTGCGAAACAACAGTGGGTGACAAAACGAACGTGCAGTCTTACCGCGTGATGTCGCGTAGCTCCTCCACAGCGCATCTTGGACTCCCATGGAGTCTCCTTCACTCTCCTGGCTGCACTTGTGCAATCACCGTAGCAGGTGTGATCGGCGAGGGTGGCGAGGGTGCACTGGAAACCCATGCAGCCATGCAACTTGCGTCCGGCAGCGGGCCGTTAAGCTGCAATTGAGTGCCTGAATGCCAAAGTTGTTCTGCAAGCAAGTTCGGTCCTTCGGAACTTCATGCATTCTTCTTCCAGCCTGTATTATAAGAACTAGCTGTGCTGCTCAACCTCGGCTGGGCATGGCGGTCCCTGCCATCTCTGCCGCGCTGCTTACTTGCTGTTGGAGCAACGCCCCGAAATGAGCAAAGGCTGCTGATGCGCTCTCCCGATGGCTCCCCTTCCACAAACCATTCGACGTTTCTTCCGAGCCTTCACTTAAGTCCTCTTGCTCGAACTTTGTCTCAGCAATAGGCTCCATCTTGGTCTCCTTGACCGTGCCGCTCGAGTCTTGCAGCAGCTCGCCCACACGGAGCAGTGCGTCGTCCATGAGCCCTGAGACCGAGTTCCGCAAAGAGCGCAGTGCTGTGGAGGCACTCGAGGTCGCCTCCGTCTCGTCCGTTGCGTTGTAATCGCTGCGTAGGGGTTTCTCTGTGGTCGGTCTGGCGACCATTTGCTCCAAAGGCTTAAAGCTGGAGGTTGGGCGCCTCCGAGCCTTCCGCTGGTTAGGGACGACTCCCTGCGACTCCGAGTTTTGTGAGTCTGAGCCTCCTGAGCCTCCCGAGCCCAAAGAACTCTCTGAGGCACGGCCGCTCCAAACCTCGCTCCCGGCGCTGGAGCCATGGCCACGATTCTGGAAGTGGGAAAGGTGGGAAGGGCTTCCGCCGTTCGTGCTCCAGCACTTCAGCTCTGCACGTAGTTGCCCGACAGCAGTCTGCAAAGAAAGTGTTTTTCCTTGAGTCTTGGTCTCTTCGCTTCGCAACTCCTCCTTTAAGAAATCGTTCCTTTCGTTGATTTGCTTTAGCTTCTCTCTCATCTGCTTCAGCATTTTGGCCTCGGATTCCTCCGCCTCCAGAACCTCCGAAGCCAGCATCCGCTGCTCCTGTGCCCAACCACGCGCAGCCTCCTGCGACTAGGACCGATTTTTAAACAAACGCACAGAAGACTCCAATATGTCGGATTCCCGGTCCTCTGCTGCAGTGTTGATCTCTGCCAGCTCCTTGTTAAGTTCTTGAAGCTGGATCCGACCATCCTCACTTTGCGACTTGCCCCGACGATGGCGTGGCGTGGTGATCGATCGGGATCTTACATTCTCGTGCTCCTCCAACTCCTCTGCCATGAGCTGATTCCGAAGTTGGAGTCGCTCAAGCTCATGCCGGGCCCTGGCTTGTGGCTTTCTCTCAGAGGGCGTGGATCGCTCCTCTGCGGCCTGCTCCAGCTCCTGCCGGCAAGATTCCTGAGCAGCGTCTGGACCCGACTACACCGAACTCAATTGCAAGTCTATGCTGCTGAAACCGTGAAGATGTATGGACTCAGCACTGCAGAGCGGGCGACTGTTGGAAGCATGGTGACAAAGACGATGATAAACACACATAAGATGATGATTGTTGGACGGTGCGATGCTTCTTTGTGAAATTAACTCGTGCAGGCTATGCCAGTCTGTCCACGCAGGAATCTCATAACCATAAACAATGTCTCCCGACGGATTGCGTAAGCCTTGCGATTTTCGAGCGCTCGTCGACAAAAATTACACAGGTAAAGGAGTGCTGGTACCGGTACCGGTACTGGTACTGCTACTCCTACTACGACGACGACTACTGCGACATGACCCACAGTTCCTTGCGCCGCGATTCCAAGCTCTGCCGCAGCACTTGCTCCTCAGCCAGAAGATCTTGTCCCTGATGCCCGGCAGTTTGCAGGGCTTCCTGGAGAGTATATAAGAACCGTTCTGGTGCTGAAAATAATCCAAACCACAAAAAAGATAATGGAAGCAAGCGGGCAACTGCAATTGAACACAACGGTCTGGCACCGCAACCGTTCGAGCCCGATCCTTTACCAATCCACTCTGCTGTCCTGGTTGTCAGCGTGCTGAGCTTCGGCCTTCGCGAGCGCTTCACGAAGTTCCGGCACACTGGGGCAGCTGGGGGCAGCCATGGCAACGAACTCGATCGTCCGATATGCACGCCGTCATCCCGCAGCCTCTGCCAAAAAGTCTTGAGCAAATTGCTGAGCCAGTCAGCTTTGTCAGGACCCGTGCCGTACCACAACTCAAAGCCAGAGCCACAACTTCGTGCAGCATTGCCTGTTTCGGCCACAGAAGCTGACAGTACAGCACGAGTCGGGTGAGCCGACTCATCAGCAGCCGACTCATCCTAATATACATAAGAAATATGCGGGGCTGTCGTAACAGCTCGCTGAATTAGTCCTGCGTAGTTCGCTGACCTGTCAAAGACTTTATGACCTGCCAAAAAACGTTCATTGGCAACGGCGGGACGTGCGCCTGTGCTATAGGCAGTGCCGTTCCGTCTTGAAGCCTCGTCAGGGCACGTCCACGGTGAGAAGGCCTTACGTGCTCAGCACGCTCCCTGATAGCAGCTCGTTGTGGCTCATGGCCCAATGTGCTTTAGGGATGTGGCATTCGAATCTAAAGTCACACGGGTGGTATTCGCTTGACGGGCTAAGCTTCTGAATGCGTAGCCACACCAGAGCCGGTAGTGTACAAGTGCACCGAAGCTGGCCACTTCTGGCTGACTAAGGGCCGGCGACACTCACTCCGGATGGGCGGCGACCTGACATATCTTCAAGGTCCGAATATGCAAGGCGAGAAGACCCTTCGAGGCTGCGCGCCTGTGGAGCATAATACGCGGGCATGGCCTGAGCAGCATAAGTCGAGGTCCAGATCGGCTTTTGCGTATCCTTTCAAGTGTGCATAACTATGTGCACTGTGCTGTTACACGATGCCCATTTGTTGACAGGAAAGTTTCCAGCACTACGAAGCATTGTGCATTGCCGCGAGCACTTGCCATTTATCGGGTGTGATGCTACTCTTCACGCACATTCACTTCTCACAATTTTATAGTCTTATTTTCCCGATGGGGGGGTTCATAATATTAGATGCCGATAAGCGACTTACAATTCTTTCGGAAATCTAAAGCATTCTTTAATATTGATAATTCAAAATTAGCATCTTTGTGCATTTTCGCAAAAATCATCGAATTTAAGTCGCTTAACCAAAAAATACCGAGATTCGTGAAACAAAAATTGTTACTTCTAAACTATACCGAATGATTCTTGAATCGATATTCTAAAAAATACACCAATAAGCATAATTAGCTCAAACGCGGTGCATGCTCCACGAGCCTGCTGAGCATAGTATGCCTGTGGCGCAGCTCGCGCCGGTTGAGGATATGCCTGAGTTGAACTGGCAATCAATACGAGTCCTGGACGGCATGGATGAAGCTTCCGATGCCGTCACCGTGTCTTTCGGACAGACCGATCGAAGCAATACGTGGTACACTGCGCGGTCTTCTTCTGCAATTGCTGCTGCTACACCTACTTCCACTAGCTTACTAGCAGCTACAGAAGCCACAGCACCACAGCCATGACAAAGCCGCTGCCACCACCCGCGCAATCAGCAACATGAGGAACACTAGCAGCAGCACTATGGTGACCTCAGCCTTATTGTTATGGGCATCATCATCACCATTAGCAACATCATCCGTGGCAAGATCATGACAGTCGAAGTTATGATGACGACCCTTACGATGACACCCTGATGACACCCTGATGACACCTCATTCTTGCTCGTTTGTCGAGCCGTGTCTCTGTTCGGGAGTGATCTCCAAAGGCCGAGTGGCTGGTGTGGCCTGGCGCTCAGCCACTAGTCCTGCCGCCTGGCAGAGAGGATCTTAGGGGTTCAAACTGGCATTGGTTGATTGCTGTTTCTTGGCGGGCCAGGGTGCTAGTGTTGCTAAGGCACAGGCGGATATTCTTTCGAAATAGCTTGCGCCTTGAGCTTCTGCGGTTCAGGAATCTGTGATGCAGGCAGGGACCAAAGGATCAGCCCACCTCAAGATTAGACTGCTTGTTCAAACTTGTAATTCTGGCGCTAGCATGTAGTGCTGAGCCCGGGTATCATCATTTAACAGGGAGGCTTCCGAGGGCAGTGCACCATGTCTACGACTGTTCAGACGCAAGAAATGAACAAATGCTGGTTCGCAGATTCCGGCTGCCGCATCGTCGAGCAATTTCTTGAGTTTCAAGCTTGAGTGCCAACTCGTAGGAGTTAGCAGCCGAACGCATGCCGAAACATGCGATCTCCAGTCTCAGATCTGCACCTGTTGGGCATACTGTTCTTGCATGGCTCGCTGCTGCTGGGCAAAAGCCTTGGCCCAGCGATTACGGATTGGAAGGATTGCGGGTTCTGCCCCAAGCGATCTTTCACACCAAGCCCAGGACCTCCTTTTGCCTCGCCAGTTCGCGCTGCATCTCAGCCTGTATGCTATGGCACTGCAAGCGAAGATCCCTCTCTTCAGTTGTTCTGGCCTGCTTCTCAGCTGCCCTCTTCTTATGTTCGTACCTGTACTCAGACATTGCAAGAGAGCAGGGTGCGAGTGATTAGTCTTGGGGCACTGGGTCCGAGCAAAATCATCGGCGACCCGTTTCTGCTCGTACTCCAGCGTTGCTTGCGCGGCCTTTGGTTCTCGGGGACCCAGGAAAAGGCTGAACCTTCTCTGTGGCTCCCTCCGCCTGTTGGTCCAGGACAGCCTTCCTTTCAAAGGCTGCCTGTTGAAGTCCCATGAGCTGATAGTTGGCCTTCGGGCGACACCATCTTGACTTCTCTAATAAGCTGTCCTTGGCATTGTCGCACTCGGACACACCCAGTGCCTGCTGGTCGACGCTCATCTCCTGTGCTTTCAGCTGCTGATCCACCTGGCAAGCTTATCACACTTCGATAGTCATTCGACTGGCACATCTTCAGGTCTTGGAGGACCTGCAAGAAGTACTGCTCCTTCTTCATTTCAGCTTCCTGCCCCGCAAGTAGGGTGTTTGACAGAGGGATGTGCCGGTTTGCCCTGGGCCTGCCGCAGGGCTTGCTTCTTAACCTCGTTCTGCTGCTCAATCATCTTGATGCCCTGGAGACCGAGTGCACAGTACGCTTGAATCTACCTCTCGAGCACCATTGCATTGCCTGCTCGAGCTGCGCATCCAGGCTCTTCTCGTAGGCGTGTTTCTGCTGCTCCACCGCCTGTGGATCCGGAATCCTGAGCAGGCCGAGACGGACAGTCTCAGAAGATCTTCGGTCCGTGTCTCAACTTCAGGTCGAGGTCGGAGCCCCTCAGTGAGTCTTGGCGGCTGCACCGGCGGCCCGGACCTCAGTCAAGCAGCCTGCGTTCGTCTGCGAATTATAACAGAAGAATAATTTTTGCTGCTGCCTGTGCCTTCGCTTAGCAGCGGACGCCTGTGGCTGTGGCTGTGGCTGTGCAGCAGGCAGTGCTATGCCAGGAAGCTGACCTGTCTGCTGCCTGGACAACCACAAGGACCACCGATTGAAAAGACACAAAACCACACCCTGTACAAACTTAGGCAGAGATGCAAGAGTGGCTGGGCGCCGGCCACTGCTGAAGTGGAAGGTGCTGGCTGGTAGGAAATGGTTGGGTACCTCACCACAAGGCTTGTGGGGCTGGACGGATCCCTTGCCGACAATTCGCTGATGGCACAAAGCGCACCGCAGCTTCCGATATCCGGGTTGCAAAGCTTCTGTATGCTTGGGTGCACGCGCTGCTGGCTGTGGGGAAGATACCGTGACGCCGGGCAGCTGTGTGGGTTGCCTGGCTGCGCCGCATGTGCTTGATCTGGCAAGTCCCCTGTTTCCGACTCACGCGTTGTTGCATCCTACTGCAGGCATCGCTATGCTCAGCTGCGGACGCTTGGGGTTGCGCTGCAGTCACCGTGATGGCCGGTATTGCAGAAGGCTGCCTCAGTTTGACACATCTGAAACACAATCTAGGGCAATTCAGGTAGGCGGTAGGTCTACTGAGACGTCCAGGCAGGTTTGTGTGTTCTGTGAAAATCTGCCAGGCTTCAGCGGGTCGCATTAAATGGCAAGCTCTGCACCTGAAGGGGCCACTCCTGGCTGCTTCTGCTGAGAAGATTAAAGAAATCCAATGGACATTTTCTGCCTTCGATGGCATGGCACGGGAGTGTGGAGGAAATGATTCTGCCTGTCGCATGATTTTCGTGTAGCAGGCCAGGCTCCGCCCAGTCAGTCGGTGGCTTCGCAAACTGGAGTGAGTGGCTGCAGCCAACTTAACTGTGGCTCGGTGTTGAGCCGCAGAGCCGGAGACAGAAAGGCTCTGTTCCTGTTTGTGCAGTAGCAAACGTCGTGTTGAGTGCCAGGCGTGGATGCTTGGTACGCAGCGGGCTGGTAGGATGTGCTCGGGCACCTCAAGTCTTGCAAGTTCGATCTCGCACCAATTGCGCAGAAGGCAGCCAAAAGCTCCTACACGCCTCTGGGAACGCATGTAAGGTTTCAAGGAGCTTACTTTCGCACCTGCTGGCAAAACAGCTTGCCAACCTGGCCTTCTTCGGACAAACAAACACCCTTCCAAGCCCGCGGCGGGGATCCTGCCACCTGGTACGTGATTGGCTGGCCCCTGTCATGGCAACCGAGGCTTGAATGCAAACTGCTGAAAGGAAGGGTTGGTTGTCTCGTATTGGTGAATCAGAATCTGGGAACGGATACTTGAGAAACTTGCAAGCTCCCATGCCAGTTAGGCGCAGTCGTAGACACTGCAGTGCACGGGGCCGCCTTGGGTCCGTGTGCACGTACACGCAGAGCTTTGCAATATGTCACCTATGGTTAGATGCTCGGTGGCGACAGCACGAGGACAAGCCGGCTCAAGTCATCTAGGCATGATACAAAGCAAGACTGTGATAAAAAGCAAAACCGAGGAAAAACCGAGTGAGCATGTCAAGCCGGGCTGGCTTTTTCCACGCGTGTTGCGGCGTCCAGAAGGATTTTCGTTTACGCCTGGCGATAGAACGACCATCTGACCCTTGCGAAAGCAAGAAAATAGGAAGGTTTGCGAGCGAGGAGAGCTCTCCTTTCAAAAAGTGGTTTCCTGTCCACTTGTTGAAAGGAGAATTCTCCT